AGAATATGTATAGCATGCTACCTTTCAGGTTAAATAAAAGGTGATAAAACACGGGCCCATCTCCACTGATACACAGGCATTATCACTGCTTGGAGGCTTGGAGCCTGTAGTCCTAGCTAACTAGAAAGCTGCAACAGAAAGATCACGACCCAGTCAGACCCTGTCAAAAATACCTCTCTGTTTCACTCTTCCTTTCCTTCTCTCTCCCACTCTCTCTTATCAAGAAAGAAAAAAAGGGAACCAGCAGTTAGCGTAATGGCTATGTTGCTGGACTCCCACGTAGTCGACCATGGTTCGCGTCCTGGACCCGGTAGCTTAAAACTCATGCTGGGTGTGTGTGTGCATGCGTGCCCAAGATACTGAGAGGAGAATGGAGAAGAAGGGATTGCAGTGTGGCCATCCCCCCGGGGGGTGATTTCTCGCTTTCTGACTCTGTCTTTCTGGCAAGCGCACGTGCCCTATAGTAAAAAACCTCTCCAAAAAGAAAGAAAGAAAAAAAAGCAAAGCAAAGCAAAGCAAAGCAAAGCAAAGCAAAGAAAAGGAGTGTGTTTGTAAATCTGTAAAAACACAGATTCGGATTTGCTTGTAAATACATACTATATCCTTGAAAAGAAACAAAGATACCTAAGAGGGTCAGCAGGTGATGCGGTGTTTAGGGAGCTGGATTCCCACAAGGCTGACCACAGTTCAAGTCCCAGACCTGGTGACTTGCTTTCTTACTCTCCCCCTCCTCTCTGTTTCTCTCTAGTCAATAAAATAAAATAAAATAAATCTTAAGAAAAGATAAAAGATACCCTTGGGACCACCAGTTGGCGTAATGACTATGTTGTTGGACTCCCATGTAATCGACCACAGTTCGAGTCCTGGACCCGGTGGCTTAAACTTACGCCAAGCGCATGTGCGTGTATGCCCAAGATCCCAAGAGGAGAATGGAGAAGGGATTGTGGTGTGACCATGCCCCTGGGGGGTGATTTCTTGCTTTTTGTCTCTCTGTCTCTCTCTTTTGAGCACATGCGCCCTAGGGGGGAAAAAAAAATGTACAAAGATAAAAGGCACCCAAGAAACTGCTAATAACAGTTGTCTAAGAGGGAGGACCAATGAGTGGCTGGGAGGCTTCTTCCTATATATATATCCTTTTCTATAAACATACATATTAAATGTACATACAGTCATGTGATATATATCATGACTATATTATTTTATTCATAGCAGCATGTGCATGTATGAGAGAGATGCCCCTCAGCAAGGTCTCAACACACCACAGTCCCCTGTCCACAGCCCTCCAGTTCATCAGGACCCTAGGTGCTCCTACACGTGTCCAGCGTATCCTTGGGGTGACCCAGGGATCTGAATCCACGGTTGCCATATGGCTTCCAGCCTTTCAGGGTACTTTCTTAGCACTATGCTACCGTAGCTAGGTCAATTCTTTCATATTTGAAAAAATCTTGAATGGTGAATATATTATCTATTTCAGATTATCCTAAATAAAGTAACAAAATAACTGTAAATAAATTATGGCCAAAAAGATCTGGACCAGAAATCTAGAGATGAACAAGCCCACTTGGTCTCTATCAGGGAAAAGGTGGACTGCATTTGGTTCTCAGAAGAATTATTGAACATGTGGCTTATAAGCACTTAGAAACAAATACATGATTGCTACTGAGGTTTCGCTAAAAACAGGACATGAAAAATTAACCTCAATTTACTTGTCTGATAAGGATGCCAAGATTGGCATATCGGGAAATGCCACAGACAGAGAACATCTTAATTATTTTAAGACATCTGACAAACACTTACAATATTCCAAAGATTGAAAAGCACAGGCTTCAGATGTGAAAGACCAAGCCCAGGGTGGCAGTTTAGGAATAAAATCAGCACAGAGGAAGCCCACAGTAACGTACAAGGAGGCTTGGTAGAAGGCCTTGACGATCCCCTACTTTATTAACAATTTGAAGACAAAAACTCAAGCACATTTATCAAACTATCAGATGCTGTAAGACTGAGAGGGTAGGAAAAAAATCAAAGTTTAACAAGAGAGACATGAACTAGGAACTACGATTGATACTATCAAGATAAAATCTGGGGGCTGGCAGGTGGAGTGGTGGTTAAAGGTGCTGGACTCCCATGTGGCTAACCACCGTTCAAGTCTCGAACCTGGTGGCTTTCTTTCTCTCTTTCTCACTGTGTCCCTCTCTGGTCAAATTAAAATAAATAAGGTTAAATATAATAATCCTTTTTCAGCAGTTGGTGTGGTGTAATGGCTATGTCACAGGGCTCCCATGTAGTCAACCGTGGTTCAAGTCCTGGACTCAGTGGCTTGAACTCACGCTGGGCGTGTGTGCATGCATGCCCAAGACAGACTTGTCTTCATTGCTCAGCTCTTCTTGTCTTTTCGGCTGACCGCATTCTTACATGTGCTGCCTTGTGACAAGATGGCTGCCAGTAGTAATCCTAATGGTTAACAACTGGAGGAAAGGGTGAATTCCACCTCTCCTTGCCAATAGTAACAGTACAGTTCCTAAGATGGACTTTCACAGGGCCAGCTTTGGTTACATGAGCCAGTCAGTACAGCTGGGGACAGAGGGAAGACCTCAGTCCCACAGCCGTCTCTGGAGCCAGCTCGAGGGTAGACTCTGCCTCTGCTTTGGGAGAAGGATACACGTTCTAAAGGAAATTTGAGGCTTAGTCTCAAAGGAAAGCGATTCTGGGCAGATAAAAGGCACAGATGCCCACTGATGTCCCTGAGGTTAGGGGCAGGGATGGCAAGAGCAGAGTAGGCCGGGCTTTGCTGGCCCTGAGTCAGGCCTAGAGTTTTGGAGACAGCTGGGTAAAAACAGGACTGGGGGTGAAGGGTACTTCATACATCAGGGGAGCTTCTGTCTCTCTGTCTCTCTTTGTCTTTCTGGTGAGCACACGCTTCCTATAGCAAAAACAAATAAATAAAAATAATTCTTTTTTTAAAAAAGATAAGATTTAATAGAAACCTACAAACTTCCTTTTTTTTTCTTTTTTAAGAGAGATTTTTGTGGGACCAGCAGTTAGTGTAATGGCTATGTCACTGGACTCCCACTTGGTCGACCACAGTTCAAGTCCCAGACCGGCGGCTTAAACTCAAGCTGGGCGCGTGTGCGGGCGGGCCCCGTGTGCGTGCGTGCCCAGGATCCCAAGAGGAGAATGTAGAAGGGACTGCGGCGTGGCCATCCCCCCTGGGGGGTGATTTCTCACTTTCTGTCTCTCTCTGTCTTTCCGGTGAGTGCACGTGCCCTATAGCGAAAACCTCTCCCCCCCCAAAAAAAAAAGAGAGAGAGGGAGAGAGAGAGATATTGCTATAGGTATAGGACACATGTGCTCGCTGGAGAGACAGACAGAAATCAAGAAATCACTCCCCAGAAGGGATGGCCACGCCACAATCCCTTCTCTTCTGTTCACCTCTTGGGATTTTGGGCATGCACGCACACACACCCAGCTTAAATTTTAAGTTACCAGGTCCAGGACTTGAACCACAGATGACTTCTTGGGTGTCCAGCTATGTAACCATTATGTCATCTGCTGGTCCCTGGTTTTTAAAAGATTCAGCTACACAAGTAAGTACAGATGGTTGAATCCTGCTTTTATAACAATTCACAGAGAATTTTAAGTGGCTGCAAACTCAGTAGTGGCTTCAGAAAGAGCTCCTAAATCTCAGGCTGAACTAATTACTATCTGTAGTAGCAACAGACTACAAATTGGGAAGCTCACATCTAAGAGTTTTCTGTTCTGTTCTGGCCCTCCAAAGTTAGAAGGGAAAATGAACAGAACTGTCAAGGATTTGGAAACTAGAACACTATGAGGAATCTAAGGAATATTGGCCTACAAAAAAAGATTTTAAAGGGAAATGGCAATTTATCTTCAAATGGTCACTTGGAGGAGGCATCATTAGACTTATCCTATGGAAATTCAGGGTAGAACTGGGACCACTAGGTGTGACAAGTTGAAATAGTAGTTCAGTACAAGAAAGAACATTTGAATAGAAACTTAGTAGAGGGCTGGCCCTATAGCCTGGCAGAGCTGGATTCCGCATGGCTGACGGCAGTTTGAATCCCAAGCCTAGTAGCTTGAAAACCACACTAGGCACAGGTGTGTGCATGCCCCAAATCCCAACAGGATGGCAATATGGAGAAGGGGCTGTGGCATGACTGTAGCATGTTAGGGGGTGCTTTCCTCCATTTCTCTCTGGTGAGTGCAGTACCCTCTGGCAATTAAAAAGGACAGGAGGGAGGACGGGATGTTAGGAAAGATGAGTGTCTAAAACATCGTACTCCTGGAACCCGAACACCCCGGGTGCATGCATATGCCTGGGTTTTGGGCTGGCTAGGATGGCACAAGGCCCTTGCTGGTGGTGTCTGTCTCTCTATCTCTCTATATTTCTATCTGTGTCTCATTTTCTCATGGAAGAAATAAGTAAATAAACTTTAAAAAAATAGTTGTGATTCCAATCGAACAACTGCGGTATGGGACTATGACTTCTCTAGAAGGAAATGGAACTACCAAACAGACACATTTGTAAGTCAGATATATTATAAATCAGATATAAGCACTCTCTTCAGCCCACTGAGATCTGGATTACTCAGTAAGTTTAATATCCGTAAGTCCCTCCTCAAGGGTCCCAAGATCTAGCTCTCAGTTTCTACACTCCCTCCTCTGTTTTTCCTTTAGTTCCATCTGAACTTTTAGGGTTTGGCCAATGAACTACTGGCTCATAACATCCTCAGGGTGAAGCCTATCTTTCTGTTTGCGACCACCTTAGCACTTAACATTGCTGGCTGTTCAAGGTGGATGCTTAAGACACATGTACTGAATTGCTTAACTGAGGGTTGCAGAAGAGCCACAGAAAGAGCAAGCGGCCATCAACTGCTGAAGGAGACGGTGTCAAAGGCAGTGCCACGTGGATTCTGGAGTTCTGGCTCACTGGTAAATACAGGCTTTCCACTACGACCACCCCTCATTCTATGTCGGCTTACCGTTACTGATTTCTGGGAGGTCAAATTTAGTGAAGTCCCACCACTGGAGCCGATAGGTAGTATTGGCAATGTTACTGGCCACAGCAGACTGCCCGTCACCGATTACTGCCCCTGATGGGGAAGAAGACAGAGAGCACGTTATATTATTTACCGGTGTGTTTCCACTGCAGAATGTAAAACAGTGCTAGGATTAATGAGAGAGAGAAAAGACAGGGAACCGTAACGAAGGCTGAAGGAAGCTGACAAATCCCATCTGGTAAGCCCTTATCTCAAAGAGAAACCAGATGTGCTTCTCAAGGAACACGTCTACACGGAGATACGATCCTGTTCATCAACTGTTCCCATTATACTTAACACTTGTTTAATGCCAACAAATTATTTAGTGCTAACTGTATACACACTGCCGGCAGGCTCATAATCTTAAGAAGCAAATGAGCTTTCATAAAATGTAAGAAAAGCGAAAAAACAAAAAACAAGAAACGGGAGGATGTCATTAACATAGAAAATCCAGTAGTATTTCAGTCCCTAGATGTCTTGGTAGTAAACAGTGCACTCTGGAAGAAAGCATCTCCTCCTTTGTATGTGACCTTCCTCTTAATAAAACATCTCAAAAGAGGCTCCCCCCAGGGAAGAGTGAGCTAGCACAGAGCTGACTGGATAGAGAGAGGCATGAGAACAAATGAGGCAATATTTGTTAATCTCTTCTGGACCCCTGGCATGTAACACAGCAGAAATTTATAAGCCTAGCTTTGTAGCATCAGAATATTTTTATTAAGGCAATCTTTTATAATCCCCCCTCCGTAAGAACTTCCTTGAATCCAGATTCACTTGTAACATCTCATAGTTTAACTTTCCTTGAGATATACACTTCTGTATGACATTTTTCCTTGGTAACCAATTAAATAAAAAATGGATTTTTTAACAGGGTGACACTTTAATTTGCAGTTGTATTTCATTTACATGAACATGTCATTTCCTCCTCCTCCTCCCAAGGCACACTTCATACACAACCACCCTTCTGATCAGACAGCGCCAAACCCTCTTGGGAAAGTGGAAGAGTCTTGCATGCTAGATCACCAAGGGGTTACCTGCTGCAAATCCACTCCTACTTGGAGAAACGGAATTTGTTAGAGCTTACTATCCTGGGAACAATGGACAATTTTATACCTAGATTCCTCTCCTACGGCCTGCCCAAACCTCTTTTAGGACCTGTTTCTTTTCTGTTTTCCTTTCTTTTAGAGAGCTGCATTTACTGCCCAGCTACTCCTGGTGTTTCTCTACTGTTCCTCAAATGAACGAGAGATTGGTCAGATAAAGTACCCTCCACACAAGCCACGAAGTACAGAAAAGTACTCTTCGCTCTTCTTCAGTTGCTGCAGGCCACGGCATAAGAGTCTTTGCATTGTTTGCTTATTAATAGTCTTTGTCTTTGTCCTGGTTTCAATTAGTAAGGAAAGGTACAAATAATATTTCTCAACACTGGCAATCATACTCCCACTAGGATAAAAATTCATTCATGGGGACAAAAGAAAATATCTTAATACATCATTTGTTCACCTCCAATGTGCCAGAGTGTATAAAATTATATTGTATCCATGATATTAAAATTTCACGTGAGTAGGAAAGATTAGAGGAAAAGGAAGTGTGACAAAGTGTCTTAGGGTGACAATAATGAAATAAAGGTTGAAAAACACCCTTCTGGATAAATCATATATCTCAAACAATGTATTCTTCAAAACCTTGCACATTCAAAGACATAGTCCCAAACAGTCATGATCTTCTTGAAGGCCGGAGAAAGGTAACAGTTGAGGTGCTGGCGATAAGCCCACCAACCTCACTCCTATTCGGGGCCCTGGAGCATATCACTCAGATGAGGTAAATATACCAGGATATGTGCTCGCTTCACGCACTGCAGGAAATTCTACTTGAATAATTGCATGGGGTCCTTGGGAAAGTCATGATGCATTTTTGCACAGAAAAATATGTCATGACTTTTCCAACAACCTAATATTTTATTTGGGGACTTTTGGGTTACTAGAAGGGTGGAATATCTCCCAGACTTTCTTTTTTGAGAGGTTTTTGCTATAGGGCGTGTGTGCTCGCCAGACAGAGACAGAGAGACAGAAAACGAGAAATCACCCCCCCCCAGGGGGGATGGCCACGCCGCAATCCCTTCTCCTCCATTCTCCTCTCAGTATCTTGGAAACACTCACACGCACGCACACGCACCCGGCGTGAGTTTTAAGCCACCGGGTCCGGGATGCGAACCGCGGTCGACTACGTGGGAGTCCAGTGACACAGCCATTACGCTAACTGCTGGTCCCTCCAAGACTTTCTTAAGAGGAATTTTGATTTTTCTAAGGCATCTTTGACAATAACAATTTTAAGTGACAAGACTACCACTTTCTCAGAAGGAATTACTCAGTTTCCTTCTGACCCAGGCTCGCATCTCCGGATGGCTGACCTCTCCTTTTGACTACCAGTCTCTCTAATTACTTTAGTTCCTTATCATTTCCTTCAACTTTTAATAGAAAAGATAAAACCCCAAACAGTAGAAGACAAGTTGATTTTCTCAGTGTATAATGAACAGAATGCTAGTTGCTAAGAGAGAATAGAAAATAAATGGGAGAAACAAACTCATATTTTAGGAGCTTATTCTGGGGGAGGGAGTGAGCACTACAAACAGGACACCAGTGAAGACGCAATGCCAGACGCTTTTGGGGTGCTGTGGGTCTGCAGCTAGGAGCACAGATGATAAGGATGCTAACCTGCAGCTCCAGAGGCACCCAGACAGTCAATGCCTCGGGAAACAGCTTCTGGAGAGCGGCTGTGCAGCCTGGAGAGCTGTCCTGTGTCAGGGGTTTGGGAAGGCGATCACTTTCAAAGGCACCAGGGTACTGCGGAGGAACAGAGCCCGCTCCAGATCAGGGTACTGTCACTATGTTCTCCTCCGCAAGAGCTACAGGCCAAGGGAGCTTGTTAGAAAACTCAAGAAACAAAAGTTTCATCCTATTAAAGAATGTCACTAAGCTGAAGGTGTAGGTAATGTGTCAGAGTGAGTTAATGGAAGAGGCTACAAAGTATTTGCAGAGGAGACACTTAGCCTGTAAAACCAAATCCTGAGAGCTGCTAAGGGATTTACAAGGCTTCAAGGTTTCCCAAAGAACAAGAAAAAGGAACAAATTAGACTCAGGGTGTCTCAGTCTACACACTACTGACATTTTGAGCCAGGTAATTCTTTTGACTAGGGAGTTGGGGAAGGACCTTGCACCTTTCAGTGTAGTTAGCTGCGTCCCTGCCCTCAAACCCAGCAGCTGCCAGTACCACCTCCCTCTACCCAGTCACGACAACCAGTAATGGCTCTAGATATTGCCAAATATTTCTGAGGATAAAAATCAGCCCTAGTTGAGAATTCTTTTTTTTGCTATAGGGCGTGTGCACTCCCAGAAAGACAAAGACAGAGGGACAGAGAGTGAGAAATCACCCCCCAGGGGGGATGGCCACCGTGCAATCCCTTCTCCTCCATTCTCCTCTTGGGATCTTGGGCACACAAGCACATGCGCCTGGCATCAGTTTAAGCCACCAAGTCTGGGACTCGAACAGCGGTCAACCACATGGGAGGCCAGCGACATAGCCATGATGCCTTCTGCTGGTCCCCCTGGTTGGGAAATTCTAAAGTAGATAAATTCAGGCTTACTTAACTCTCAGACAGGTGCTCTTGGAAAGCACCACTACTGGAACGTCCAGTGCGATAGGCACCAATACTGTTGGTGGTACTCATCGAGGGCGCAGCCTTACACAAATGTTTCTCAGCCAACTCAGCCAGTTTTCCATCTCTGCCACGGATCGGAGACTGGCTCGAACTGGGATCTCATGGCTTAATTTCTGTCTGTTTTTACACAGTTTCAGAAAATATAGCCTTCAGAGTCAAATGGAGCAGGTTCTGATACTTGCTGGCGGAACTCACTGTAATGTAACTCAGGATAAATTAATCTCTCTGAACCTCAGTTTCCTAGGATTTACCTAGCACTTACAATTTCATGGGTTGTTAGGAGAACTTACTAAGGCAATAAGTGCAAAATGATGGCAAATAACAAGTGTCTAATAAACAGCCACTAAAACAATTTTAATAATCTACCCCAATCTGTGTATTTCTTCTTCTTTTTTTTTTTTTAAAGAAATTTTTGCTATAGGGCATGTGTGTTTACCAGAGAAGTGGAGAGACAAAAAGTAAGAAATCACCCTTGAGGGAAGAGGGAGAGGATGGCCACATGCAATCCCTTTTCCATTCTTTCGAGATTTTGGGCACGCATGCACACATGTCCAGCGGGAGTTTTAAGCCGCCAGGTCTGGGACTCAAAACACAGTCGAACACATGGGAGTCCAGCACCTTAACCACTATGCCACCTACTGGCCCCTATGTACTTTATAGGTATGGCTCTGTAGTCAGCAGCTCGTGGACAGAGGCCCTTTTATAGGAGACTGTCCTAACCACTGTGCCAGAGCAGAAAGAGAATCATTTAACTTTAGGATTAAGGTAAATTAGTCTAGGCCTCAGATTCTTTGGCAACTTCCTCCTTGAAAAACACCACAAGTCAAGACAGAGCACATTGTACATCACAAGACACAACATAACAAACTTAAAAGAAGAGAAATCCCAGAAAGTATGGTCTCATACAACAAGGGACTTGAACTAAAATCAGTAACAACTAGAAAAACCTAAAAAATCTGGAGATTAACCCAATATACTTTTGGGATCAGCATATGGCATGATGGTTATGTCAGTGGATTCCCACGTAGTGAACAGAAGTTAGCGTCCTGGACCCAGTGGCTTGAAAAATTATGCTGGGCGCATGTGCGTGTTTGCGTTCCAAGATCCCAAGTGGAGAATAGAGGAAAAGAAAATGTGGCCATCTTCCCTGGGAGGTGATTTCTCACTTTTTGTCTCTCTGTCTCTCCAGCAAGCACACGTGCTCTATAGCAAAAATCTCTCTCTTAAAAAAAAAAAAAATGCTGGGAACCAGCAGTTAGCATAATGGCTATGTCGCTGGATTCCCAGGTAGTTGACCGCGGTTCCCATCCCAGACCCGGTGGCTTAAAACTCACGCTGG